CAGAGTTTAAATATTACTTAATCTCGTAAGAGTTAAATGAGCAGACAGTGTTTACCATAGAAGATCTACTAATGCAGATGTTTGGCTTAGCTGTGACCTTAGAAATCACCTAACAGAAAATCTGAAGGGAAATGTGTAGGTTAACAATTGCTTGTGGAAATCATCTACATTTTTTCCAGACATCAGGCAAATGAGGGAGATCTTCTATACCGGGATAGCTGCCCTGTCACAGAGCGGGAGGCCTTTCTGAAGGGTCCGTGAAGATTGACTGGGCTGCATGGTTTTGGATTGCCTTATACCCCACAGGTGCTAGGTACAAGCAGCTGTAAATCCTGCTGCCTAGTGATCGTCCGCTGCCGCTGAAGAAACAAGTCATAGATTTCTAGAGTTTTACAGATCCATTTCAGGAAGGGCATCTTTTTCATGCTGAGGGATAATTCGCTTTTCAGAGGGAAACAAAAAGCAGCAACCGCAATGAGAAGTTAAAAGCAAACCTGTGTTGTTTTACTTTGTTGAGGGAATTTAAGGCAGGTTTTAGGAGAGAGAAAGCTCTCCTGCATCTGTAAGCTAGTTTATTACACTGCAAACCGTTCTTGTTAGCATCATGGTAGTATGTAGAAATCAGATGCGGGTTTTATTGTACTACATGCTGTGCAAAGTAAGGCGATATGCCTTCTTCAGTGAGATTAAAGCAATCTCAGGGATGGATAAATAAATAAATGGGCATAGCAGTTATAGAAAATCAGTAGCAGAGAGGATGAAAATTAAAATGAGAGGAATGTAAGCTTATGCAGAGTTTGCAAGGTTGACATGATGTCATTACGTTGAAAAGACTACAGATATCGTATTAGCTGTGGGCGTAAATTTCTGATAGTACAAATCAATAGAGTGGAGCTTGCAGAGGCCTGTGTTTTACTCTGCCTTTTCCTGGTGTTGACAGGTTGACTTGGCAGCATGATACAATATGTAAGAGTCTGCTTACTGTGTGAGCAAACTTTGAAAAAACAGGATTCAAAGGGATCGGTGGGGCACTACACCCAGATGTAATCTGTGCGGGGTTAAGCGATACAGTCTTAAGAGGCCGTGGCTATGACAGGATCTGGTACCTGTTCATACAGATTAAAGTATTTATTATTCGTATTCTATATAAAACCTGAGTTATTCTAGGCCAGGTAGTAGTCAGAGCAGAAAAGACATCTTTTCTTCATGTAGAAAGAGCAAGGTATGCGATTTGTTTCAGTTAATTTTACCAGTTCTGAAGCCACATGCCTCATGTAAACTTGTTGCTTTAGGCTTTGTCTGTAGTCAGTGGTGGAACTATGGGCACCTTCAAAGCACTGCTCATCCCACCTGTCTCCAAACAGCTACTTTAAGGTGCCTTTTTCTTTCACTGACATTAGAGGGAGCCTTGATCACCAGCTGACAGTGGACACCTAATTTTTGACATTTAAATTTAGGTAGGTGAATTCTCATCCATGACAACTGACTTGAGTAAAGGCCAGAGTCTTAAGGCCTCTGTACAGCAGTCTAACAAACTCTCCTTGTTATTTTGAGCTAGACGTTTCAGCAGATATTTTAAAAATTAGTAGATCTTGTTAAATGGCTGGCTTTTGTCCATCTTCCATTTCCTCCTCCAGGAAGTAGTACATTCCAGCCTCTGTAGAGAGATTTGAAATTCATGAACAAAATGCAAAATAAAATAGTGCACTAGGATTGTTGTTTATTCAGCTTCAAGTGGAACCGAAGTGTTTCTGGAAAAAAAAAAGAAAAAAAAAAAAAAGCCCAAGTAAAATTATTTATAGTTCAAATGCACAGCAGTTCCTTCAGACTAATATTTTATGGTGGGTGGGGGACTGTTGCTGCTGTGTAATTTCCAATAAGTCATTTTCATAGTCTTTGCCCTCCCTTTCTGGCATACCAATGAATACCAGGATAGCTTATGAGGCTTTTCAGGCTAGAGGTAATACTAAAATCAATATTTTTCTCTCAGATGTCTTATATACTGATATTATTAGTCCCACGTCTGCTAGCCTCTGGATAGTTCCCTGCCCAGGACCATCATCAAAACCAACTCTGGATATGACTATGTTATGAAAAATACAGTATCAATGGGGAAATAAAATAAAAAAAACCACATTAAAATCTGACAGCCATGTAGTATCAGTGCTGGAATGACAGCCTCATTCATTGTGCCAGCTGTTCTCCTCCATGTTCTCTTATTCGAGAGTTTTTCAGTGCTAGGCTGTAGCAATTAGTTAAATTGCCGCATGAAGTTCAGTTCTCACTGTTGGGGATGGCTGGTTCATCCTCCCAGGCTGTACTTTTACTAGCGCTGGGGAAACCATCGCAGTTCCCCGCGACAGCAGGAGGAAGCTGGATACGCACACGGTCAAATTGTCTGTGTTCGTTCCTCCACTCTGATCAGGTGAGGTACCTGCGAGGTACCCCAAGCAGCTCTGGTGATGTGATTTATTACCCTTTATATTCCCCTTTTCCACCCCCATGCTTGTTCCTCCACCGTGCTCATGCACTCCCAGATAAACAGCCTGTCTCTGCTTATTCTTTACCCACTGGCTCCAATATGTTGCTGATTTTACATCCTTGTTCAGTATTATTTACGATAGGGTTGCCCTAGGAATTTCTGCCTCAGTCAGCAGTGCCGTTAAGTAGTACTAGACCCCTGCTTGTGCTGTTTCTCGGGTTGCTCTCTCGTTAGCGTAGCCACAAATCGAGGTTGGCCATCCGCACGCGCATTACTCCCTTGTTGCTCTTCGTTATGCCAGGCAATGTCTCCCGTGGTTATCTCGTTAGTGTAGCTACCGTTCGGGTTCAGCAATTTGCCCACGTACCCTCACACCCAGAAGCCAGCCTGGTGCAACTGCTGGTGGAACCACCTCCTCCTTCATCGGGTTGGTCTGAATCGCCACAGACAGCCCTTGTGGCCAGCAACATCCAGCTCTTGAGGGAAACATCACACTCAACCTTCTGCTTTCTGCCTGCCCTTCCCCTCTTCCTAAGGCCAAAACCTACTTGCACATGGTCCAGCCTGTTGCTGCGTCTTCTGGCATATTGCTGTATTTCTTCCTTGGCTGCCTTACGATGGTGACCCAGGGTGGGAAATGCTCATTAGCCCTTCTGTCCTGGACCAGATGATGACCTGCTTTCTGGTGACTTCTTCCGTTCTCTGCCTGGTCTGGCCTCTGAGCCACGTGGAGAAGCTGCCCAGAAAGGGTCAGTTATTATGTGCAGGCCGTCTTCCTGGAGATCGTTCCCCTCCCGTTTACCCAGATTACCTTTGTAACAACTTGACAGTGAAAACTGGTTGAATGGGAATGGGAATGGCTGCGTTCAAAGGATCTGAGACCGATGCCAGATTTTTTATGGGGAAGCATCCCCCAGCTAGAAGGTGGAAAGGAGGAATTCAAAGAGGTTGTGTGCTCCACCCACCTGGCTTAGTTCAGAACGACACTCCAAAGGCAACCTGCCAGCATGCACGGTCACCTATAGGAGTTTCCTTTTAATACAAAGGCCAAATAAATATTTAGGTGTCACGATGGAACTGCATCTTTCAGTTTTTCCCAATTATTTGCTGGGGAACAGCAAGAAGAGGTGGAAAAGTGCCTTGTCTAGTGCCTGAAATAGTTGCTGCTGCTGTTGCCGCTCACCTGTATGGCTTATCTTCCTCCTGGGGCTTACACATGTGGTAGCAGGGCGTTGGAGATTATTTTTTTCCTGAGGTATAGGAAAAGAAACCAAATCATAGGGGAGGATTCTAGACTAAGTAAGATGACAGTATCTCTGGTTTCATTTATCTATCTAGTATCAGCTTACATTTCCCTGCCATCAGACCATCATGTCACATTGCAGTCTGGGACAGCACCTGCAAAACAAGCAAGTAAAAATATAATTATGAGGATAAGAATTCTATTTCTCTATCCACAAAAAAATGCACCTCCTTCCACATACAGATGGCTCTCCATATGTCATAAGACATATCGCCACGCTCAGTAAGAAGAACTATATGGTAGTTTCTCTGGTAAAAAAAGAGAATTTGCACCCTGAACCTTGTGATTTGTTTCTTATTAACAGTTTAGTAAGACAGTAGGTAATACTTCAGATAAAAAAAGGGATGATTCTTTGAGTTCAGGTTTGAACTAAATCCAGAATTTGATTGAGCCTAGGTTTTTTTTATTTTTTGGCATGGTCCACTGCTTCTGGAAATGCCTATCTGCAGCAAACCGATCGTGCTGCCACAATAACAGTGCCATGCAAACAAGATTTCTGTTTGGGTACAATATGAAGGGTGAGCAGAGATTGTGCTTTAAGCTGTCCTTGGTGGCAAAAACAGCCCCCGTGGAATTCTGCTTAGACTGGGACTTTATCGAAGAGAGAGATTTAACAAATTGTTTGGCAGATATATTTAGAAGACACGAAATACGACTTCGGGATCACTTCATTACATGTTCTTTGTTTAAATGTAGCTTGTCTACCCTGACTCAATTACAATTCTGTTTCTGTAAAATATTTTGCTTTCCATACAAATTGTTGAAAAGAATTTTCAAAATGTCAGTACGTGTTAAGGACTTAACATTCGCAGGATCTTCTGAAAATCCCATCTGCTGTGCAAATTAATATCTAAGAGTAGTTTCTGAATGGGTATTCACAGGGGCATGGTTCAGAAAAACAACTAGCATGTGTTTACCTTCCAGTGATTTCCGTAAAATATAGATTTTTATGCGATGAGGAATGATTTCCCAAACTGTAGTTGTGCGCATTGCCACTAATAATATCAATATATTGTTTGCTTATTAACGAATTTGAATTTTATTTGCTCGTTCCTTCACCAAGTTCGGTTCTCAGTGGTGGAAAATACATTCGTTCATTTAATTCTTCACGAAGCATGTCCCCTGTGACCGTGTTACTCCCCACCCTGTGGGATGAGGTGACCTTTGCCTTCAGGAGCCCCTGTCCCCGCTGACTCTTTCTGTCCTGTCCCCTAGTGCACCTGGTGGACATCTGGAACGTGATAGAAGCCTTGCGGGAAAACGCGCTGAACAACCTGGATCCCAGCATCGAGCTGAACGTGGCTCGCCTGGAAGCCGTGATTTCAACTATCTTCTACCAGCTCAACAAACGGATGCCGACGACCCACCAGATCAACGTGGAGCAATCCATCAGCTTACTGCTCAACTTCTTGCTGGCAGCCTTTGATCCGTGAGTCTGCCTCTCGTAGCCACGTGTGCTTCCCTCCTCTCCTGACTGGTGGAAGGATTTTACTTGCTCCGGAAATATCTTTGGAAAACAATTGGACAAGCTAAATTGTGACCCAAATAATGAGCATGTGAATAGTGCTAACTAGGGAGAGAACCTAAATTAAGGACCTCTGCTTTCCTTTCTGTTGAGCCAAATTCAGCACAACTGTGTTTTCATCCAGTTACTCAGACTTCTTCCAGTTTATATCAAAGAAGAATTATCTACTGAAACAAATTTACATCCACTTCTAATTTGCCCTGTTATTTATTGACACGCCAGTGGCTGACACCACCGCAGTGCCTCTGCAGCAGTGCCATGGGTTAATAGCTCGTTATTTTGAAAGAGCTCATTTTCCTGCAAGTTCTTGCAGCTGTAAGCAGTTTTGTTTTCTGGCTCATACCAGCGCAGCATGATTTTGAGACCATGACAGAAATAGGATAAAGACCTGGCGGTGATGAAATTCGTGTTGTTTATTACTGCATGGGACCCGTATTACAAAAAAGGACAAGTTTGAGGTAGAGGGAGCCACTTACCTTAGCAACTGTGCTGTGTATACACCTTGTAGTTTCTGAATGCATAGTAATCAACCTGTGCTGCAGGATTTTGCAATCCTCAAAACTGAATTGTGGGAGAGCAGTGGTTAACTCTGACAGATGCGGGTGACCTATTGCCTCTTCATGGCTTGTGTTTTGAAAATTCCCCAGCTGAAAACACTGGCCATGGCACATTAAAATAAGGATGCTGCCCCTCTTCCCCTCCCTCCTTCCTGTCCTCTCGCTTGAGGGCACCAGTGCTGGGTGTCATCAAGCCAGACCAGCGGTGGCTCAGTCACCATGGCAACGGGGAGAAAAAGTAGATATTCCACATGATGAGGCTGCACCTGACCTCCCCGCCGAGGGGAAGTAAAAGCAGCCAATCCGTTGTGAAACCGTAGCCTTCTGGAATATTTTTCTCCCCTCGAGGGCAATAAAAGAAGGAACAGGTATTTTCGTTTATGCCATTCTGGCTGTGACAAGAGCACTAGAGGACGACAAAAATGGCCAGACACATGCGTTGCTGCATGCCACAAGCAAACTGCTTCCCGGCTGGTAAGCACAGGGAAAGACCCAGGACTGTGGAAGCCAGATGTGCGATAGGGGGCTTGTTTTGTAGCTCACTGTGAAGGGGTGAAGATCTCAGCTAGACGCCAGGGCTACTTGCAGCAAAATGGAGGAGAGGAGTTTATGGAAACAGAGAATGTGCTTAAAGGGGGGAGGTTTTGCTTTCCCTGAAAACATCCCACGTGCTGTGGGTTTCTGTGACCTGATTCTGTGCTCCCATTGGGCCCTCCCAGGGGTGAGGAGGCTGTGACCCTCGCTCCATTCGCCAGGCAGCTACTCAAGTCTTTCATGCTGCCTCCAAGCGGGGGGCCCTGGATGCACTTCCCAGAAGGACAGAGACACCCAAAGGACCCCCCAGGAGGAGGCTTCCCGCTCTGGAGTCTGAGATAGGGACTGGCTGCCTATCACCCCCTTTTGAATGCATCAAACATCCGGGATGAGGATCAGGTGCAGTCTGAGGTACCCAAGTTCAGGCTTCATGGAGATGTGTGTCAACTAGAAGTCGCTTTACTGTGATTTGGACACCTATCACAGATACAGACATACAAGCATCTGAGTCTCAGAACATGCCCTACCCTTTAGTATGGGTCGGATATTGAAGTTTTGGGTTGGGTGTTGGTTTAGCAACCCCTGGTGGTCCAGATTTCCCTCTTTCTGGGAAACAGAGGGAGGGAGGTGGCTCTACATGCTGCAGGGACGATGTGAGAGCTGCTGGGGTCTAACCAGAGCTGATGTCTCTGCTTCCCATGTTGCTCCCTTCCCTCCTCTCCCCCGCAGTGCAGCAGAAAGGTCCTTCTCTGCTGAAGGCTACAGGTTGGTTGAAGAAGGAGCAAGGTCTATTCTTGGGGTCCCATGCTCAGAGGGAGGCAATGCATTGCATATAGGGGGAACAGGGGTAGAACTGTGAGGTGGGATGAAGTCTTTTTCTCACTCTCCCCCCATTTCTGAATGCGTAGTAATGAACCTGTGCTGCAGGATTTGCAATCCTCAAAACTGAATTGTTGGAATAATAATGGAAAGTTATGTAAGCTGGACAGTTAAACTAAATTGCCTGCAGTCTTCTCTGATGAAAAAGGGGGTTTTACTGGGTACGTGAATCATCCTGAAACCATGACAGTCACCCCTGAAATACTCCTGTTATCTTTGATCTGAGTTCACTCCTCTATCTCTTAGTCTTGTGTTTTAAGGAGACAGTTAGCCTGCAGAAATGCTATCGAAATTTCTAGGTGGCTACTGAGGAGTTATTTTGCATGTTTATTAATGAATGTTAATATGATCACATTTGATTCTGTGAATGCAGACAACAATGGAAAAAAAAAAAATAACCAAACCCTAAAAAACCCAGAACAGCTTTTTAAGACCAAAGCCATAGACCAATACCAAATAGCTCTTCAGTGTGAGAAGGCTGTTCAAAGTGGTCATGGATGTTTTCAGTGTTTGTGGCTACGCAGATCAAGGGCTGCCCTTGCTGTACTGTGGGCAGGTCCAGAAAACACTGTGCAGTTTCTCATGTCCCGCTTGAAATGCAGAGAAGGAGAGTGGAGAAATGGAGTCTGTGACTTAACATGTATGAAAGGACCACAAGGGACAAGTTAATGTGTGATTTAAAATCTAATAAGCCTACCACTGTCTCATTTATTTAGTTCTAGTTAATATATACTGCCCTGCGTGTACTGTGCTGGCTGAAATCCTCCAAGCTTTAAACAGAGCTTCTTCCTTCATTTATAGCCTGGCAGGTTTCTCTGCCCTCTGGCCGCGGGTATTTCCCTGGGCTTGCAATAGAGAAGTCTTCTCAGGAGCTAGAACCTGCCTAGCGAAACTTAAGAGGAACCACGGTGCAGCGCCGTGGCACGTGGGTCAGCTTGCCCACTGCCTGTGCTGAACTTTCATCCCAATTTTTCTATGAATGTTTCACAGCCTTGGGGATTCAGTAGGCCTACAGATAATTATGTATAACCAGAGAAATTTCATTACTTTTGGAAAAGGTAACTTAAGCATTTGGGGAGCACCACTTCATGGGATGCATTTGCTGTTGCCAAAGATGTGATTTCTTTATAGCTTTCCCCGCCATATGGCAGTCTCAGTGTGAGTATTGCTAGAGATCCTGACAAATGTCACTGTCATCCATTTGGTGCCACTCTCCTTGGTGACCCAAAAGGCAAATTCAGAGCCTAGAGCTGGACTTGGCCTTGTATGGTCTGTGTGAGGCAGTCCATGGGACTTCCTTGCTCTGGGGAGAGGCTGTCTCTCTCTTCACCCATGCATTTGAAGGGGACACCTCCTGCTCTGCTCTGGTGTCTAAAAGCATGTATTATTTTTTGCCCTTTTTTCCCCAAGCAGCAGAAGATAACCTTAAGCCCTGGCTGTCATTCCCTTTCCCAATCCCGAGTTGCTGCTAAGTGCACATCAGCTTCAAGGTTTGCTTTCGCCATCATTTATGCTTCCACTGCTTTTCTGTAGGGATCTAAAGAGTAACCTCAGTAAGAGAGGTACTGTATAAAATCAAAGTATTTTCTGTCCTCTCCTATTTCCACTAGTAAAATTTATATCTCTTTGCATTAGCCAGCCTAAAGCTTCTTTCAGGGGGCACTGACTTCAACAGAGATCTTCATGCTGCTGTGAGCCACTGCTTCACCATCTGCTTTTACACAGCAAACACCGTGAGGCCCCAGTGCTGCCAGTCAAGGGCGTCTGTAGTGCTTAACCATAGCTTAGGGCACTTCTGGATCCAGATGATGTTGGCAAGTCTTAGGCCCCATTATCCTGTCCCTTCATCAGTCATATATATTTATATATGCATGTGTGTATATGTATGCACACACACGCGCACACACATACATATTTGGAGGGCAAATTGAATTTATACTGGCGCTAGTGATGCTTTTATGAATACAAATGGCCAATACGAAATACAGCATCAAAACTAATCAACTCAGAGAGAATGAAGAGATAAATTAAATCTTTCCTTTTTCTGTTCCCCTGTTCCATAATGGTTTGAGTATGGGAAAGGCTGATGGCTCTGGGTTGGAAAGCTGAAGGCAAGTTGATACACGTCTGCCATTCAGGAATATAATCCTGTTAGTAAATGTAACTAAACCTACTGGGACAAATAATCTAAATCTGAAGCACTTCCACATGGGCTTTATTTTTTCCTCTAATTCTTCCATTATTTCTTAATAACTCCATTGCTTCCACTTAGCATTTATTTTTCTTAAGTATAACAACTCTTTTAAAGGCAGGTGAGAACCTCATGAAGAAGCAGGGCAGAAAAATTGCCAAAGGTCTCAGGGGTAGTACACACAAAAATAATAGAAAATGACCAAATTCTCAGTCATAGCAGTGCTAGGTCCTGATTTACACAAATTAGAATCCAGCCAACGAAGGATGGAACTACTGGAAATTCCTGCACTGTGATTTTAATCTTATGAAGCCAGTCAAAGAGGACACAATGTAATGAAAAAGAAAATGTGCACGAAAGGCAGCATTAAAGAACATAGTGAAGACTTATTTCTTAAATACTGATGTAGTGAATTTGTTTCTTTTTGTCTGTATCTCTAGTTGATTTTCTGACAAAAAGCAGAATTTTAAATGAGTATGAAGAATATTTAGAATTAATATTTAGAATTATGGGTTACACTGGTTTAGAACTAAATCCAATTCACCGAACTTTAAAGATTATTAGCTAGCCAAGCTTAGGGAATTGGCTCATTTTCTAAATTTTCTATGTAGCATGCCTTAATGTACTGATATGAGTGTATATATTAAATGGAAGAAACGTATTAAATGGAAGAAACGTTTTAAATGGAAAGAAATCCATATTATAAAATGGATGTGTAAAATATGTCTACTTTCTGCTTTTGAACAGGGAAGGACATGGTAAAATTTCCGTTTTTGCTGTCAAAATGGCCTTGGCAACTCTTTGTGGAGGAAAGATCATGGACAAATTAAGATGTAAGTCTTTTGGGTGACATTTTTTACCTGTTAATCATAGTTGTACTTGGAGAGATAACAGTACAGGTAGGAAAAGAGGGAATTAGGATAAGTTATAGTTTCATGGCTGGGTTTGGGATTTGCTCTGTATGTATGTCTAAGTAAACCCCACTAAATGTTTGGCAGAAATTCTTGCAGGACTTCATGTTTTTTAAGCCAAATTGCATATGAGGTTCTGATCGATGGATTTAACTTTTTTTCTTTGAGACAATTGAATTCAGAGTACGGGTAAGTCCCTCAAATGTTCAGCATCATGAAGCATCATTTAGCAATTTCTTCAGACTCTTTTTTAATAACATCTCTCTCATTTCACACTTAGAAGTACAATGTATTTATGCACTATTTATATTTCTTCCTTCTGTCTTGGAGAACAGATTCTCATTTCACAGGATTTATTCCCAGTTCCCCAATAGCCAAGACATAGTTTACTTGTAGCTGCAATGAAAGACTTTCTGTTTAGTGCTATGGTGTCTGTAGCTCAGGTCCAGAACACCATTTTCAGACTTTTTGACCAAAGGATTAGTGTCAGCCTTCAGTTTCCTCAGACCCTTCTACCACAAGAAACGAAAATTGAGTTTACAGATTGTTGTTGATTGGACAAGTAGAAATCCCAGGTGCTAATTTAGTCTTCCAGATCAGGTGCCTTTTTTGGTAATATATGATATCTATGTAAAAACTCAAATGCAGACTGAACTTAAGTTGTAAATTATAAATTGAACACCGTTACAACTTGAACACTGGTTATTCCCTAGGCTGCCTTAAGAATAGGAGCAGGGTCCATCCGGTGGAAGGCTGGAGTATGATGCTGATTTTTTGGGTCAGCAGTCCCAGGGTCCTGATGGCAGAATTTCCCTTCCAGATTCCTGGAAATGAAGCGGCTGACATGACAGCCTGAAAAATGATAAATGTTCCTTAGTCTGTGATCCCCCGCTAAGCTTAGGATAATTTTAAACAAGGGGAAAGGTAAAAGCTGAGAAACACGCATCTCTGCAATAATAAAACTGCCGTATTTTTATACATGAACAAAAACCAAAAAATTGAGAAGAGTGGAAAGTAACGCATTTGAAAGACTTTCAGTGCTTTGTGTGTCTAAAACAATAATAACTGACTTAATGAACTCATTATCAAGATCTGGATTTGACATGGTAAGCTGGCAGTAGGCAAAAAGCTGATGTTGCATATCTTGTCAGATTAGATCCTTCTTATTTTATTAAATTACTGCCTCATGCCATGCATCAGATGACCACACACACTGAAAAAAAATCAGGAATATTTTAATATCAAAATCAGCTGCTTTTTTATATGTCAGTCATTCTCTGTTTTCTGTTGTGAAGAGTTACAATTAAAGACACAGTAATCGTGGAGGTTTCTGTAAGCAGAACATGTTGTTAGCACTTCTTGTTCAAATCAGATGATGCTGAATTCAGAGCAAATCTGTAGCTCTCACAGAAGTTGCTGTGTCCTTTGCTTGTCTTTTCCCCCCTCAGATATTTTCTCAATGATTTCTGACTCCAGTGGAGTGATGGTTTATGGCAGATACGACATGTTTCTGCGGGAGGTTCTCAAGCTGCCCACGGCTGTTTTCGAAGGGCCTTCATTTGGTTATACTGAGCAATCAGCAAAATCCTGTTTCTCGCAACAAGTAAGTGAAGAGCGAGCATCCTAGGCACAGGATCTCCCTCACCCCTCTGAGCAGGCCAAGACTTTCTTCCTTCCTTATACATCTGTTGGCCTGGGAAACACAGGGCTGGGTGGAGGGGCAGCCCACTTTGCTGATTTCTGGCAGGCAGGTTAGGTGCCTTCAGTGGGAAGCTGGTGTCTATAGGTTCCCCTATAACCACGGAGGAGAGAGAGGCTTAGTCAAAAAGTGGTTCAGAGCGGGATCTTAACTCACATGTTGCTAAATTAGGGAGCCTGAGGAGACTTAACTTCCTGATTTAGGCACCTAGGTTTGATACTTAGATTTAGGTGATATAAATACCACAAGACACGCAATCCTCCACTCCAGTTAGTTGTTTTGCTGTAAGCGTACATGAGACTTTACCTTCTCCATACAAAGCTCAACTCCCACCAAAAAATCAAACTGCATGTTTTCCAAGTGGTGGTGTACACACGTGAGAAGTTTAAGAGAGAGAAGAAATTTTCCTTAAACCTTGGTTGAAAATGGGAATCAGTAGGTATTAGAAAGTCCCTAGTCTCGTACAGATAACATCAATGAGATAGGGTCAGGGAAGCAATTAATTTATCCTCAAGGAAATACGAGGTTTTTTCACAACTCACCAGACTCTGTAGGTGCACTGGGTACAGTACATTGGCTGCAGCTAATACCTACCACTTCAAAAAATCCCAGAATTGGGGCTGATTGTCCACTTCTCTAATGGAGAAAGAGAGAATTCCTCTGGCTCTTGCCACACATCACACTGTATAATTCCATAAAGATGCTGAAACTAAGAAAATGTTAGAAATAAAGTGGTATTTTCCTTTCTTTATCCTTCCATTCGCTAACTGAATACTGTTGAACAAATAAGTTGAATGGAGCAGGAATAGTGTCATTTTCATGCAAAACAGAGTCTCATTTTTTGTTTTCCCTCAGTTTCATCACTAATCAATAGGCACTCCAGTCAACTGAAAGGCATTGTTGAAATTCATTTATTGAATCATCTCCCAAGTCATTTTAAATGGTAATGTGAAACTCTCTTGTTTCACAGAGGGAGACTTAAGACAGCACTTCATCTTAATGTGGAAGAATTTACATAGCAAAGTGACTTTAGGTAGTTTTGTGTTAAAATAATACAAGAGAGCTCTTGCATGGCAACAGGGCATTCAAGCTTTGCATGTTGGACATGCTGTTATTAAAGATGAAAAAAGCAATTTCTTTTCTCGAAAAAATGTCATTCAGGCCTTGTTTTCTATCTAAGCAGCCATCAGAAACGGCACTTTCATTGACATTGCATCCAAATGAGTGGACCAGATGTATTAATACTGTTGTTCTCAGTATGGATCACTTTTGCTTATCAGAAGCCTTTCAGCCCCCTGATACATATATTCTTCAAACTCAGGGAAAGAAAAAAATCCTGGAAATGATCTTCTGCTTTGTGCTCACAGTGTCAGATCCGTTTCAGTGTGCATCTGAAAGGATTTTTCTTATTGCAGAAATGTTTTATTATTCCCCATTGTACTGGTTTACTTGATCAAACCATGTATTTTCCTCCATCTGTGAACCACCGCTAGATTGTTTCTATTCAAAATAGAAACAACAGTGTTTCCTCATCAGCAAATTTATGGAACAGAAATGCCAGAGCAAGTGACTTAATGTTTCAGAATACAAATATGTGGCTCAAAAAGGACTTTTATCACCACCACTTTCCCCCATAGGTAGGATTAATGTGATGTTATACTGTATTTAAAATTGTTGTTATTATTATAAAAACCACCTTTTTTTCTCTTTTTTTTTTTTATCCCAAACTAAGAAGATAGATGCTAACTTCATTTTCTTAGCACTTGGCTAAGTGTTATTCCACAAACCTAGGCTCCATCTGCATGTAGCGTATATTTAGAAAACAGCTTTCAGTTTCAACTTTCCCAGCAGCTGAAAAAAAAGCTGCAGGAGGAAAACAGGCCTTTTAAAATGTATGGAAATTGCTCTGCTGGTATCCCTTTAAGGGACGCTGCTGCCTCTAATCCATAAAATCAGTGACCACCAGAGGAGTTCAGCCATAAAGCTGTCAGTGAAGCTAAGTTGCTTGATTTGGTGTAAATCAGGTTTTAAATTATAGCTGCGTGCAACAGCCTGCTGCATTGTGGAAGAGCTGCTCTTGTCTCCCCGTCTATTTGCTCGTGACGGGTTGTGTGTTCGCTGCCAACTTACCCGCCTTCAAGAGCAGAGGGAGGACTTACAGCTACAGATGTTTGCTGGGGGCACTGGTCAGCAAAGCCGTGCCAAGCATCCCCAGCAGATCTCCAAAAGAAGGATCCCTTTCTGTGAGCTGATGCTTGTAGCGTAGGATGCCTATTTGGGAAGTGGTTATCCGCCCTCCGTGGGTGGGAAGATCATTCGTACAGCAAGCAGGTGGTAGCTGTTTGGTTGGGCTTTCATGCTGCAGGTATTGTGGGAAAAGGTAGTATTTCAGTGGGATGTAGAGCTCATATTCTGGCTATTTCTGTTCATTAAAGAATCAAGACCATTTTCACAACTAGCCTGAAGTATTTTCTCTTCTCCTAGGGACAAATATCTCGATATATTTCCCAATATCTTGCAATATTTCAGCCCTGAGACTGTTACAGGGTGAGATGTTTTCCATTGATCACTCAGTGTATAACAGAAATAATGATATTTTTTTTTACATGTGGTGGCAATTGTATATAAGTGCAGCACAGACACTCCATCTGGAAATCTCAGTTCTTAAAGGCATTCCACAACACATGGAGATGATACATGTCACTGCATAGCTGCTGTTTTGCTTCCTCATGGGGTAACCACAGTTCTTTAGCAAGTTAAAGCAGTAGCTTATGCAATCAGATATGAAAATTCAGTAATCCCTTTGGATATGAGGATGCTACTTAAATATGTATGTCTATAAATTATATCTGCACACATTCTCAACAGGGCTTAATATATTTGCATCTTCATTTTATTTTAAAGGAAGGCTCTGTTGCTGATTTCTTAAGGGCTCTCTGGCCTTGACTGCTCAGTAGTTGTGTACTTTAGGACACCCTTATGTAGCCACTATACTATGTAGGAAAGAGCGAGCATTTGTGGTGGAGATACCTCAGGCTGAAATATCACCTATAGGTCTGAAAAAACCAAATGAACTAAGATTTGTGATGGCTTTTTCCAGACACCTAAGAAGCTTAAGGCCCTAGATTACACTTTTAAAATCAACAGGGATATTTTGTGTTTAAATCTCTTTGGAAGATAGAGGGGCATAGATCTGTAAGTGGAGAGTTTAGGAACAGTCGCAGTCTCTGAGTGTGTGCCAACATCCCACAGTCAGAGCTCACCCGTAACTGGTTGCCATCCCTCAACAGACAAGCGCAGTTTCTTAAATTACAGTGACACAATTGCCTGTGATGCTCGGTCCTTACACTATGTTTGTTTTGAAATTATACTCCCTTGTCGTTATTTTCTTTCATTTCCTTTGTTGGAGTACCATCAGTACCACCAGTCATTGTCTGCAGTGACTTTTCATCTGAAAGTCAGTAATACACAGTGATACCTTACATGCCCTTGTACTCGTTTTGGGCTGCTCAAAACACATGAAAACATGAGGAGCTGAATGCCAGCCTTACTCACAAAGCATCTTCAGGCAATGGCTTTAGAAAAGAGTCTTGCAGTGAGTGGGAGCTAGGTGTCTCCAATCCAGCCTTGTGAAAAGGGCTGCTAGTCATCAGTAACATACATCCTAACTACTAAAAATAGTCTGGAAGAGCTTTGCTAGTATCACTTGTTCTTTTTAGTAAACCAGGGCTGCAGGCAAACAGTGTCTGAAACTTGTTCCCAAGTGTTTCTGTAAGGATAAGATAAAATTGTTTTGATATGTCTAATTACTGATTCTTTGTGCATGTTTGTTTGCTTGTTTGAGCAGAAGAAAGTCACATTAAACACTTTCTTGGATACTCTCATGTCTGATCCCCCGCCGCAGTGTCTAGTGTGGTTACCACTTCTGCATCGACTGGCAAATGTTGAGAATGGTAAGTAAGAGCTGCTGCCAAAAAACGCTTACAAGAGTAAACTTTTGTGTGATGATTTTCTCACTCTGTAGATGATTTTGTAGGAGATACTGTACTGGGCTCATTGACTCCGTGTGCTGTTTTTGCAGTCGCTGGTAAAATATTTAAAGAATCCTGTTGGTCAGTTGGCCAAGAACATGGCTTAATTTTTGCTGTGCTCAGGAAATTATTCTGATCATGTCCTCTCCTCCTGTGCTCTGGATAAACAGAGAGCAATAGGACTTGATCCATTCACACACTTACATTTGTTAAACTATCAAGGCCACAACTTGTATTAGCCATGACATATGGTGGTAGAGAAGGAACAGCTTGGCAGTTTCTGTTCATACAATATTCTCGGCAGGAGATGTCCAGTGCAGTGCAAAATATTAGCCAAAAGGTCCTGAAGGATGATCTCCTCCTAAGCCTACACTGCCAGACAATGTACTCTGAAAAGGAGGTTCCAGATTTATCCTTATCCTTTGCTTATGTGGAAGATGAGGACTTAACCGTGAGATGCCTCCTTCTCCTCAAGGGTGGTCTTTCCCCAAGATGAATAGATCACGGATTTTAAGGCAGGAAGGGACCATGGAGATCAACTCATTTGATTATTGCGCAATGCACATTGCACGTCCCTGGACAGTATCATCTTCCTCAGCCTTCCAGCTGCTTCAGCACCTGGGGAAAAGTTCACACGCTCAGAAATGTAGTCCTCCAGCCAAACCCTTCGTCTGCTGTTTCTGTAGAAGGTGCTGCCACGCTGGAAGTGCAGGGGCAGAGCGAGAAAGTTTGTGCATCTCATTTCCCTGTGTGCAACACCAAATTGCAGCCCACAAACTCTGTGCCATTCCTCGTGTAGTTCTGGAGGAGTTCCCCATCTCCAGTGCAGCCAGCTTCTGTCCAGAAGGACCAGCACTGACAATATTAAGTAGAAAAAATCCATGAAACAAGAGGTGCCTTTTTACTGTCTTGTTTAGCTGGGCGTACTTGTTCCCAATGTGGCAATTCTTGCTCGTGATTGTTAGCAGTCAGCGATGCTGACAGTCATTATATTCCAACACTTTAAATCCAGAAAAAGGAAGATTTAAAAATGGAGGAAGTTTATGCAAAAAAATTAAAACATTAACTTAGCAAGATAAATAGATTTTTGGTAAACCATTTTCCAGCCCAATATTTTGCTTCAGAGGTTGTTGTGTAAGGGGCTCGTTGAATATTCCTGTGTTGTTGCTCCCTTGAAGGTTTACCTCTAGCATAGCTGAAGCTTTTGGGACGCTGCAGGGAAGAAGAAGGAGGGGGAATGGGCAGGGGGAAGAAAAGATCATATATACTCATCCTGTTAGGCAGTGAAAGTATTTATACCGTATTTCCAACAAGAAAATGGGGCTGGTGGAAGGGGAGGTGTGCAGCCGTTTTTTGGTGATAAAAGGAGGGGGAAGTTGCACGTGTTCTTGTACTAAATAAATCCCACTTCCACTGAAAGGCACCAAGGTGGGTGAGGTGATGTTCACCAGTCCTTCTTGGCTGCAGAGCCACCTATCTACCTCACCTTCCTCCAGCCTTTTTCATCCATCCCCGTCCCTCACCAGCTTCGCAGTGTTTCTCAGTCTAAAGCACTAATCTTTCCTGCTGCAAAGTTCTGGCAGAGAATGAAATAGTTCACTCAGCACTGATCCAAATCCTCCCAGTCTGACCCGTACAACAGAAAGGCGGAAGGTGCCTGGGAACAAGGAGATGTTTGGTACCCCGTGGTAAGCTGGGTACGTGCTGTAGTGAGGAGAGAGGAGCAGAAATGGCACTCTTGCCAGGAAGGGGCTTCAAAATGTCTTGATTGGCGCCTTAGGGTGCTCAGTGGCTTGCGTCCTCGTTACTGTCTGCTTCTGAGGGGAACAGAGAGCAGACCACGTGGGTCCCTCCAGTGGCCAGCTTTCCAAATCTGGGCATCCAAAGCAAAGTGTTCAACTTGGGTACCTAAGTGACGCCGGTTGTACAGCTGAGACAGCAACAATTCAGAGACGGCGACGTGCCCAAGTACACTTTTGTGCTTCCAGTAACCAGACAGCTGCGTCTGACTTTTTTCCTCTGAGGCGCATCGCTTTAGCTCCTCACAGCACAGCAAAACATTCCGCTTCTCCAGGGCCGCAGCTGAAGGGTGCCGTGGATTTTCCCACAGACGAATTTCCTCGGTCGTGTGTTCTGTTAGACACTGAACACCTTTTGCGCTGCTGCGAGCAGGAGGGGCGGGCGTCAGCTCAGAAGCGGTGGAGGGTTTGCTGCCCGCTGTAGGAAGCGTTGCCCGTGGCTCAGCACAGGGCGGCTACTTGAGTTTTCACGGGTCAGAGCTGCTGGAGGTCACTGGAAATCAAGGGATTTGCCCTTCAGTTTGGGGCTTTGTCCGTCAACTTGTGCTGGGGGCTGCTCTGCTTTCGCTCACGGCTCGGTGTTTCTCTCTCCTGCGCAGTCTTCCACCCCGTCGAGTGTTCCTACTGCCACAGCGAGAGCATGATGGGGTTTCGCTACCGCTGCCAGCAGTGTCACAATTACCAGCTCTGTCAGGACTGCTTCTGGAGGGGCCATGCCAGCGGTTCCCACAGCAACCAGCACCAAATGAAAGAGTACACGTCATGGGTAAGGACAGGCTCGCGTCTCGCTGCAGACTCCTTTGCCCTCCGGCCGGCAGAGAAATCCCCAGCCGCAGCTCCGGGCAGCTGTCCGGCACTGGGAGGCCAGGAGCTGGGCTGCCAGTTTGGATTGGCGACCCTGTCAGGGAGGCTGCGGCCTCGGGAGAGCCGTCGGGAGAGCATGGAGGTGGGAATGGCCTTTTCTGGGTGAGGAGCTGGGGCACCCGTGAGGGTGCGTGCCGCGGGGAGGGCAGCGCAGGAGGGGCTGGCAGCGGGGCGAGTCGTGGCTTGCTCCGTTCGGCGACGTGTAAATGAAATGATGAATCCTTAAGGCTCGTTCATCGAGATTTTCAGTCGAGTGGCTGCGGTGTAGGCGTAGCATTTGGGATGGTCCCGGCACTGTAGGTTTGAGCGTGGTCACAGGCTTAGGTCCGCAGTCATGTTTGCTGTGGAGAAAAACACGCTTCAGTCTTTTCGTTCAACAAAATAGTTCAACGCTTTTTCTAAGCTGAAAGGGAAGTATCAGTAGCTACATGGACCTTCTCTGAAGGGCGTCAGACCTGGGGGGTAAGCTCTCCATGGGCTGGAGCAAAGCCCCAACAGAAGCCCTCGGTCACGGAGCATCCCAGTCCTTCAGATTTCAAACCTAGAGACCGGCAGAAAAACCCGAACTAGTCTCAGCTATTACAAAAGCATACTGTTACCAAAAAAAAAAAAGAAAAGAAAAGAAAATTATGCATACAGCAAAACCTCACATTTGTATAGCTATTTGTGTCTTTTTTTAACAAAGTTCTGAAGCTGAACACTTTTAAGATGTCTGCTTTTCTGTTAATGGAGCAGGCAAGAGTTAAATCTTACTCTGGTTTGCTCTGTATGCCAGTCACACCGCTGCATCTCAGCAGACCAGGGTCTGTAATTGCTTTTGTGGGACCTAATTGCTGCTTGTTGCATAGACAGGAATGGCTTGAGTTTAGACTCTGAATAGGAGAGTGCACACTGTGTAGCTCTGACTCCGTTTCTACCAGCAGTTTGTGCTATAAAATAATTTTTTGCTGTAGCCAGGGAGCTGTAATTATAAGTAGGAGGTAATTGGAAAACTTAAGATTTCTGCTCAGCAGAAAACAAAACCATGACTACATGCCTAGTGGTTTCAAATGTTTCCTTGTCAGAAACAAATGTTTTGCTTCAAGTTTGGAATTGCCTTTCTGTGGCGTTCATTAGCATTTCTTCAAACCTGGTTAGCATTCTCCATAATGCATCCACATTGAGCTCCACATGCAGATTAAAGGTGTTCATGGGTGCAGTGGAACTCAACTGTTCTCAGTTCAGAGTGAAATTGCATTTATAATGAAAGAGAAGAAGCCTGAACTTTACATATTTAAGTTGGATTTCTGTAGTAGAAATATTTCATTGTTATCCTGATTGTAGTCTAAGTCGATGCGGGATGTGTGTGCACAAATACAATGCCACTCCTGTTAAGTTCCAAAAAGATTTTTAAATTTCAGTGTGTAGAGCTGTGGTTTTTTGGTGGGAAACAGTGTAATGATCGCTCACAGAGCCTGAAAGACACCCTAGATCTCCAAGCCCTTCCTTAGAAAAGTGCTCATCTGCAAAGAGTTTCCAAACAAAACTAGAAAGCAGAAAATACTGATTTTTTTTTTTTTTTCCAGACTCACTGGCAGGATTTTGGGGTGAAAAGCATGCTTCTTGCGCAGAGCCTCCCCATCTTTTGGTGACAGTGACAGTACATCAGCCCCTTCTGGCACGCTGTCACCGTGGTGGGGTAATTCCCACCATGCACAATGTCTCAAATTTCCCTTTCCCCGGTGTGGCAAGGATTGCAGCAGCCCCGGGCGGTGGAAGAGCAGCTTTGTAACAGCAGCTAAAGAGCACAGGGTGCTGGAGCTGAGGGGGGAAGTGCTAGCGAGGAGGAAGAGTATGGCAGCCTTGTGCCTGGCTCAGGACGAGGAAGGAAACGGTGTCCAGTACAGTGTATCCATATGGACAGGCATACACAGGGTTGTTCTGCTGGGATGGCAAGCTATGAGCCAGCTCCAGTCCAGGCAACGCTAACTTCGGGCTGTCCTTCATTCAATACTACCTGAGTGCAGCGTTGCAAAGAAGCCCGGGCAACTGCATCTGTCCGTATAGATATACCCCCCGAGCCTCCTCGGCAGGGCCCTGAAGGTAAGAGTAGTCTTTCCCCCAAACCGAGCAGTCTTTGCCTCACCAGACTCTGGGGTGGGAGGGGGGCAAGGGGGGTGTCAGTCAATAGGTATGTAAGCTGTAGAGCTTCCTGTTGTTTTGTGCTTCCTATAGCAGAAACAGTATGCACCTTACTTGTCCAGATTACCTCTACCTTCCTTGTTCCTCCCAGAAATCACCTGCTAAGAAGCTAACTAATGCACTTAGCAAGTCTTTAAGCTGTGCTTCCAGCCGTGAACCTTTGCACCCAATGTTCCCTGACCAGCCTGAAAAACCTCTAAACCTGGCTCATATTGTGTAAGTATCTGTGTGCTGTGGAGAAAGTAAGCTTTGTTGTAGGAGTTGCTTACACCAAGTGCAGGTGCTGTAGCTCTGAACAGAATGGGAGGCAGCGGTGGCGTATCAAGCTCAATGCATCAAAAGTGCAAATTTGCTGATAGGAGTATTTAGCATAAAATTGTTCTTCTGGTACAACTTCACTTGAAGAGTCGGTGGGATATGTACATATAACCAAATACAGGACACGATGTTGTATGTCCCCATTCTCCTTGAGGGATATCCATGCAATTTCATAGAGTTTCAGCACTTTGGGAGGTATTCATGCTGGGAACATTAGTTTTGTCACCAAGGGACTCTCAACTTCAGCGTATCGCAGGTATGTCTTGTCATGAGGCACCAGAGAAAAGTGAAGTCCGACCAGTTTTGTTGAAATCGGTGTCAGAGTTTTCTCACTGACTTCAGTGGAGCTGTGGCTTCACCCAGCCCTGGAGAGTTATATGAGTCTGCAGAAGAAGTGTGTCTTTAATTGCGCAGTCACTTGAAGAGAGTCTGTTATCTTTATATTTTGATATTTTGGGAAAGCAAAACTACTTCTTGGTGTAGTAGTTTGTGTCACTACTTTTTTTCTCTGCAGGAGTCAAGAAACTCAAAGCAGAGAGAAGATGTGTTTATGCAGGGTGGGGAAATTATCACTCTGGATTTTTTTTCCTAAAGCGTGTCCACCATCCATAGTAGCCGTTGCTCAGATTTTCACATTTATCAGTTTGTTTTACCTTTGCTTCCTGGGTCCTTTAAAAAAAAAAAAAAAAAGTTAAATTTTCTATAGAATTCAGCAAAAATCAGGACGTTGGTTGGAAGAAAGTTACAACTTGGAAAAAATATTTTTAAAAATACTGTGTTTAAATGATTTCTCTTATTCTGATGTATTTCTTAAGAGAATATCTTTCTTAACCATCTTCCCATGGGCCCTGACTGAAGCATTTCAGGCAGCAGCCATTAAAATTGTATTTGCGTGCTGGCTATCTGTGTTACTGGCTGCTGCAAGTGTTCCAGTCTGTAATTATTAGCCATTTTTACTTTTGTCAGTACTGAGTGTTTGTGTGTAGCATCTCTAAGGGCACGTGCACACCAGCCGTTGTGGCTGTGCGACACCTGGGAAGTTGGCCTAACCTACCTGACATTTTAAGGACAAATCATGCTGGTTGTCCTCCCCGTGTGGTTATAGCAGAACTTTTTCAAGGTGTAAAAGAGGTCTCTGCTCTTCAGACACAAGGTGCCTCTGACAGATACGTAGTGCCAAATCCCTGTTAGACTCGACCGACAAGTAAAACCCCTGCACCTCTTTGTGGAGTTGTAGTGGGAGGATGTTGTTCTCTGAAAGAAATGATCCGGGG